TAATATTTATATACTGTCTGGTACTGGAGAAAGTTTGAAATGAATATGAACTCAAGCCCCAGAAGACCATTCCTACAGGTAGTACTTCTCTTTTGAGAGGGGGCTGGGGTCAAACGTGGCATCCCCAAAAGAGGAAGTGCTGAGGAGGCTTGAGCAATTTTTCAACGGTTTCTCACATTAAAACTCAACCTTGTATTACATTCTGTTGCAATGTAGGCACATGTATTTATAACTATACTGTCAGAATAGTATTCTGTATTTGTGTTTTTATGCATTTCCCAAATTTGAAAATTATTAAAAAAATATTTTTCAAAAGGTTGTTACTATTAGAAAAGGCCAACTTTTTTTTCCATACACAAATTTTCCAATTTTTATCTTACTGATAAAAGAGGTATAGACAGGTTGAAGGGTATTACAGAAATAGTCAATTAAATTTAGTTGAATAGTGAATATTTGAGTAGGAGATTAAAAGTTTAAGAGAAAGATTATAGACACACAGCTGACAAAAGGAAAAACCGATTTGTAGTTATTATGAAAGACAGAATTATATTTGTAGTTGTAAATTATAATCATCTGAATAAAACTGAGGGTTGTGATCCATTTCAATTGTAGGAAGGTCACAAGATTTCCTTCTTCTTTCCCAGAATGCAGGAAAAGTCTCCCCAGAGATTTCATGTCATTAAACAATCCCAGCCTATCAGTCAGCTATGCTTGCTTGCATGGGTTCTCTGCTTTCTGACAGGCTGCCTTTAATAGCAATGAAAGGATGGAATGACAATATTTTTGGTGACAGGAGGACATTAATTATGATTTGGTATAAAAAGAGTGATAAAAAAAAATGTTCATGACAGGACATTCACACAGAGAGGAAATTTGGGAAAAGAGCTGAAGAGAACATTACAGAAAAATTATGTGGATGAGAAGGAGAAGGAGGTGGGTGAGAGAAAGGAGATTGGGGGAATGTAGAAGAGAGGCATGGAAAGAGAGAGAGAGAGAGAGAAAAAAAACCTGTCTCTAAGAAATAGTGAGGGAGAAAAACCAGTGAGTAAGAGAAAGTAATGGCTAGAAAAACCTGGTGAGGGGAAAAGAATTAGCAAGGAAATGCTTGGTGACAATGTGAGAGAGAAAAAATAATTTTAAATAGAAGGAAATAGGATTTCAGATTTACTTTTTTGAAAGAGAGAAAACATTATTCATCAGTCTTTATGAAATCCTGACTTCAATGTTTTTTTAAAAGTTATTTCAATCCAGTTGATTTATATTTCTTTAGAAAGCACAAATACAAAATTTCTTCTTTCAGGTTAATAAAAATATACACCAGTTGTCAACTATCAGCCTATTCATTTTTTTTTAACATTTGAATTATTTCAAATATTTTTTTGATGTTAAAAGAATCATTAATTCCTATTCCTGGATAAAAATAATCAAAACAAAAATCCATTTCACAGTAATTTTCTATTTAAACAATTTTGGAAATGTTTTGTTATTTAGTAACCAAAAGAAATTTTTATGACGTCAATATCTTAATTTTGGAGCACAAATTAATTAGCAGATTATCGCTCAATATTTTTTTTAATGATTATTCATTGTTTTTGACAATGCAGACAAAACAGAAAATTCCAATTCTTTGCCTTCACCTTGAAAGGAAATTCTGTCTGCAAAGAATTTAAAACTTGGACAGAAGATGTCTGTCTGCAGCAGCAATTATTTCTCATGCCAGCAATTTATAGCCAAGGCTTAAAAAAAAAAATAATGCATTTACAGGGAAGCAAGTGTCAGAAAGAGAAATAAATTTGAAAACAGACCCCCATAACTGACACTCTGATGTCACTAATCTTCCTTTTGTAATTCTTCCTTTTATGACATCTGTTAGAAAGAGTTGGGGAAAACAAGATAAATTTATTAGATATTGATATTAGTATGGCTCTAGACAATGCATTATTCATGCTAAATGGATCAGATTTAGCAGATTTCTTCAAGCAAGGAATATTTCTACCAATAAACTGAGCCTGGGGATGAATATGATAATGAAAAAGTACAAAGAAAGGAATTGGAGAGAGGGTTACAAAGAAAGCATTAATTGAAGAGATCAGAAGGATGAGATCCTAAATCCAAGACAGCAGGACCCTAAAGATGCCAATTGGGATTTAACTGAACATAAAAAAAAACACAGACCAAAGGGTAGAGGAAGAGCACCATGAACATGTATTTCAAAACACATGGGGCTGATAGAAATTCTGTAAAAAGAGACAAAGAAATGATTACAGAAAGCAGTTTTGAACAATCAAATTTCCACTCATTTACTCTTGTTTCTCTCGCATCGTCTTAGATTAAATGGACACCAATGGAGAAGGGCAATGCTCTCATTTATATTGAACGAACAGGATCAGCAAATAGAACAAAGTAAATGCTCATATTTCATTAACTTTGGATTTCTGTATTTATTATTGAAATATACACATTTTGTCTTATTCAGGCTTGTAAAATGTTGGGCAATATTCAACCATCGTACCTACAAAAAATGATTTGTCAAAAGGATGGTCATTTCCTTTACACTGCTATTACACAATTTTTTGACTCCATCAGTAATGTTTATTTACCAGATTATAAAAATATGTGAACCAAGTACAACTGATAGTTATTATTTCCCATTTTATAAAGAAATAAATTTGAAAAGAAATCTTTTTATTCAAAAATTTATTAAAAAATTATCAAAATACTTTTTTAATCATTTCACCCCAAGCAAGGCAATAAAGCCACTAAGACACTAAGTCACTGAATGTGAGAGGAAAAAACATTATTAAAGAGAGGGAACAATAAATGAACAGGATTTTAGAAGATAAAAGCTAATGAATGATATTGCATTTAAATTTTTGAAGATCAAAGTTGACTGGAAAACAAAAAGCTGGAATAGAGTTCCACATGTGAAAAATGTAAGAGAAGAAATGTTAACATAGAACTTACAGTTACATTTCAACTGTAAGATGATGAGAACTTGTTGTCAATCTAGTACTGTGCTTAAATTTTAAAAAAATTCATAAAAGTCTTTCCTACAGAGGAAAGTTCACCAGAACAATTACCATGAAAATATTTATAGAAAAGGTACAGGGAAGGAACATTAAGTGGGTAAGTGACTGAAGGTGAGATGCCAGGCCAGGACCAATAACATTGCTGATTGTTCTTTGTATTTTATCAAGAATCTATAAATACATAGCAGAAGTACCAGACCAGATGTGGCAGCAATATGTAAGGCATGGATGAATGGTTGACTTATAAATGTGTAAGATAGATTTCAGTGATAAAAATTGTTTAGCACAACACATTGAACTTACTTTTAGAGCAGCAGAGCAAGCAATTGATTTAATATAATCTTTCCATTTCATGTCAGTAGAAAACATTAGTCCAATAAGGCATAATGAGTCACTCTCCTGGGGGTTAGCATCAGCCATGCTGATGGAAGGCAAAAAGAGTTCTCTCAGATGATTAAAAGAGAGCAGTTTTGTTTTGGAGGCATTAAAATTAACAAGCCATTCTTAATAACAGATTGTAGGTAATTTTGAGATCACCTGCCAATTTGATGTTATCAAACTGATCAGACTTACTATTAAAACAGGAGTAAATAGCTGTGTCATCAGCATAGATACTGAGAAGAGAACTGATGCCATCAGGAAGGTTATTAATGAAAATTAGGAACAATGTACTTCTAAGGAGAGAGTTCTTGGGGACACCTGTATTAATGTAAAAAGATCTTGAAGAGTGGCCATTCAAGACATTTTTCATTTCGCAATTTTATAAGTATATAAATCAATGACAATGCAATATTTTCAGTAAACATTACAGATATTCTGTAATTAGACACAAAGAAAATTTTGTCCATCCTATGAATAGGGAGATTTGCACTCAAAATATTGAGTGTGATCTTGCTTAAAATCAAAAATTAAAAGAATGTCGTGGACTTCCCTACTCATTACCCTAGCAAAACCAAGCAACAGACTTCTCTACTTGATTTATTTATTACCTCCTCCACTTGCTCTTGCCAAGCTTTGCAACACTGCTCTCTTGCTAACTCAGACCTCTCTGTGGTAGCAATTGATATTTTGTTCCAATCATTTATTAACAGGATCCTCCTATCCATAAGACATCTTCCTGTTAGCAGTATGCTGATTGTGACTCACTCTGTGACTTTCTTTGTAATGTCCCTTGGACTGAGATCTTTAACCTATCAATTGAAAATTGCACCACTGAGGCTTTTTCTTGATCAAAGCCCTCATAGATGCCTTCATCCCTTCTTGGAAATACCAGGTGATCTCCACAAAGCATATCCCCAATGGTATCCCTATAATAGTTATTAAGAAGTGTGCTCTCTGGATCCTGTTCTCTCTGAACTGTATAGTAAATAGTCTTTTTCATGGTAATTGTTTAGATGAACTCTATGGTACCTAGATTTTATGAATTTAACTGGCATCATGATCTCATCATTTTACAATTAAACTGGCTAGATGTAGATATAAGTTCTCTGCTAACAGCTTTTTTTTCTTGCATTTCTCATTTGTGGAACTCCTTGTGAAATACAGTGTCATTATAGTATTAATATTGGATTTGAATAGTATTGATCTTCTCATGTTGGGACCTGTGCAGATACTGATCTGTATATGTGATTGTTTACCATAATCAAGTTATATAACCTTGAGTAATACAGCTGAATGTTGAGTAAATGGAAACACATATTCAATGTGTTGCAATTTTATTTTCTTTCTATATGTATATATGTATGCATATACAGTCCAGTTTGAAGGTGTGGCTTGTCACAGAGATCAATCAAACTTCTTACCAAGAAATTGTCCAAAGACCAAATAAAATGAAAAACAAATTCTGCAAAGTCCAAAAAAGATGTCTTTAAATCCAATTATCTGATTTACTGATGATCCCATTTGTTACATAGTCTTAATTTTAAAGAAAAAAAAATAGGTCAATTCAAATGGCTTTATAAATTCACTCACCCACTTGACATGGTGGACTTCTAATTTCACATTATTGATATTACCCCAGGTTTCAAGTTCTGGCTGGATCTGAAGGTAAAATAATACAATGTTAAATAAATGGTAATCACAAAAGACAAACTTTTGTTTTTATTAATGTAAGATATAAGCAATATAGATAAGATAAGAATTGACAAAAATGTTCAATTTAAATTTCCTTTGTGCCATATTCTAAATATGGCTTGTTAACAACTTAATAGCATTCTTTTTTAAACTTTGCACAATGAGAGAATCCTTTTTTATAAGCACAAAAAAAAAATATTAAAAAGTAGAAAATATTAGAAACAAATTTTCATTCTGTCTCATCTTTATCTTCCACAAATTTGAAGAGCCATTATCATTCTGAAAATAGTTTGGGCAATTAAACTCATTCTTTTGCTACCACAATATTTTGGATGATTCATTTTACAGAATTCTACAAGTTTGCTGGGAATGTGGAAAAATTCTTAGCCAGATCCACTTTATAAAATCTAAAAATATCAAAATTCAGAATCTTTTCAGACACCCTCTTGTAAATAGAAAGAGGGTAGTGGTCATTTTTTTTTCTTCTATTTTTAACAAAAGCTCACAATAATAAAGGAGCTTGCATTATTTTGCATTAACTGCGGGAATGTAAAATAAACATTATCCATTGAAACCCTGTAGACTTTAACAAACATTTTTTCTTAAATACAAACCAAAGGAAAAAATTAAGTTCAGCTCAAATTTATAAATAGAAAAATTTGAAAATATCAGACATTAAAAAAAGAATTTGGATACAGACTATATAGAGATTATATAGACTCTTTCTTTCCTGGTTTTTGATAAGGAAATTTGTTCAAGAATTTGGATCAAGTTCACGCTGAATTCTTTTTTCTTGGTTTTTGTTAAAACAGATAAGGAAATTCATTCAAGAAAAATCAATGTACAATAATACCAGAAAGTCATTGGATGAAATATTTATATTCGAATCAGTAGCAAAATAGGATTCTTTCTCATTTACAGATTAATGGTTCCATCACAAAAAAAAACAAAATGCTGAATAGAGTATTATGCATTGTGGAGTGACATAATGGTCTTGTAGAAAGAAAAAAAAAGTTTCCAACCACCTCATCATACACAGTTATGTACCAAATTCCTTTTCATTTTTAAAATATATAAATGTCAAATAATTTTAGTTAAATAGTTGCCAGTAGTTACACATATACTACACAAAGATCTTGAACCCTACAAAGTGAGGGCATTCAACTCTGTTTGTGCATGACATAAGTATATATTTTGATTGGCTACTCAAAGAAACAAACTTTCACATATGATTTGAGGAGGTTATATTGGCAGTGGCAGATACTAAAATAAAGGGCAACTCCTGCAGGTTGACCCTTAAAAACTGACTGAGTCATTCAGAGAGAGAAGATATGCTTCTAATCTGGATTGTTACCTGGAATCATTTGTCACTGATTAAAAACTGAAAAATGTTTACCTCTTTCCGAAGCAGTTCTCGTTCGGAAAAGAAATCCTCAGCATAAGTGGTAATGAAGAGTTTAACAGGGATCACCTCAGCGTGCTCTCCATTGGCTAGTGCACATGCCATTTTTCCTTCATTTGCAAATATGAAAGAGACTTAAAACGTGTTGCAAGGAATTAGAGGTAGCAATGTATTCTCAGCATAGTAGAAACTGCCTGGAATTAAAAAGAAGAAAAAAAATCATTTAACCAGAGAAATATACAACAGTATATCTGTCTCAAATTAACATATACAATTTTAATTATTACAGGTTCTATTTAAAACTGCATTTCAACACAATGTCTGTTGAGTATTTTAAACCATAATAAATTCTTTTTGTTTTTAGTTTGGTTCATTTTGGTGCTGTTGACACAATTGTTGTCTTTTGTCAAAAAATGCTGATTTATGTTAGAATAGGTTTATTCAAAAGTATTTTTAATGTGCTTTATAAGTGTCTACTCAAAATATGGCTAGACACTAAAAATAATGTTTAAAGTGATAAAAATATGTTGGATTAATAAATAAAACTCCATTATTTCTTTAGAAATTGCTTTATGTTTCAGATATGAAGTTGAGTAGTTATGAACTTTCAATCATGGTAGCAAGAAGTATGTCCTTAAAGGTAGCATACTACCTTGCTTAATTGATGATGTTCTTCATGGTTGAGTTGGTTAAAAGCATGTTTGATCTAACAATAGTTTCTCCTACAAAGGAGGAGGCAGATTCATATCTTTCTAGAGGGTGTATTTTTCTTTAAGATTTCTCAAATATTCAAGCCAGTAGATGAAAATAAAATATTGTTTAAAAAATAAACAGAACATCTACACAAATATGGGTATCCACAAAAATAATGTTTAAAGTGATAAAAATATGTAGGATTAATAAATAAAGAAATCCCTTATTTCTTTAAAAATTGCTTTGTTTATGTTTCAGATATGAAGTTGAGTAGTTATCAACTTTTGAGAATCTAAATGACAAGTATGTGCTTAAAGGCAGTATACAATATATAATATATATATATATATATATATATATATATATATATATATGTATGTATTAGATGACAAAAATATTTTTTTCTATTTTTTTATTTAATTGACATGTAGGAGCACAAAGATTTTGAAAAAACTGCAACCTTTGTCAGTGCTTGATACTGAATCTTAGTTTTTAAATACATATGCTAATAGTGAAATTAAATGTTCCCAAACATTCAGCATTTATTGAACAAACAGTTAACATTATTGTCAGTTAAAATCTTTTCTTAAAACAGTTTAAGAAAATATACTTTTCAAATCCAATAACTATAATTGTACTTTCGAATACTGATGGGAGTTTCAAATTAAATCTTTTGTTTTTGGCAGTGTAGAAAGTTAACATCTTGTTTATATCATTATTTTATATTCTAGTTACATGTACTACTATTTTAGTTGTTGGAAGTCTTCAAGTGTTGTGAATTTTGTTATTGTGTGTGTGTGTGTATATATATATATATATATATATATATATATATATATATATAAAATACTGCATATGCATCAAATATGTAATGCTTTGTAATGCAGAAAGCACGTCACTATCTTATTTGTTCATATCTAAAAGTGTAAATCAGATCTTTTTATATTTTGCATACCTAATCCCTAAATATGCTCACATGACAGTCTACAGACTGCTTTTAGTCTCTTTGTATATGAGATGAGATGAGTTTTCTATCATAGAAAAAAGACTTATCAATCAACATTTTTATTAAAATTTTAAAATGTCATAATTTAAATAACTTCTTTGCAAGAAAAAAAGCATAAATTTAATCATAAAAATTAAAGTTACTTTTATACACTTCTGTCTAGAAAAAGATCACATTTAAGCCATAATAACAAAGTAAATATTGAGGCTAAAAATCAGTTTATATTAATTGTGAAAAAAAAAAAAAGCATATTTTATTTAATATCTTCAGACAGTAAAACAATGAAATTTTCATTTCTCATTTATTGGCAAGACATGACATACACACTAATAACCTATTACATAATGTCATATCATTACATATTAAAATTGAATAGAGAAGTACTTGTGTGTTCCTGTCTCTTCACTGTTTGAGTTAAAAGTCACAAGAAATCATAATTTGGACTAGAAAAAGTCACATTTAAATGATAGTAATGAAATAATATTTTAAGTAAAACTGGTCCTCCCATTGAACAACACATAATTTAAATCTTTCTTTTTATTTATTTTATAAAATAGTACATCCTACCCAATTATAGAGATTTATTTTTTCTACTTTTATTTAACATATTCAAAATTTATTAGTGATTTTTCCCCGTACAATCAATTGCCAGTATTCTGACATGGGTGAGATTTTAAACACATGCCTAAAGAAAGGTGTGGATGTTAATCTGTAAATTTCTGAATTTCATATTTTTCATTCTTTTAAAAAAGAATTTTTATGTAATATTTTTGCCAATTCTGCCTGCCTGTGTGCATAATGACGATTAATATACACACCCTTCTTTGAATAAATAAGATAAAAAGAATTTAATAAAATTGCAAATAAAAACAATTGGATTGATGGAACTGGTTCTGGGTTCAATTATTCATATGCCAATAATGAAAGAAATATATAAGCAATCAATATTTTTATATCATTTAATTAAAAAAAATGTTTACATTCAATTTTTGTCAAAGTTGGACTTGTTTTCTTGGTACATTCAAAAGATTAAAATATTTTTGTATAACCACTGAATGCAAAATATACATTTTCTAAAAATGCAGCAAGACATACCTCTGGCTGTTTCTATCTAAGCACAAACCAGGTGTCCTGGCTCCTAAGAGACAAATAACCAGTTCTCAAGCTGCTTTGCTTCAAAGACAGAGCAATATAGTAAGGTTCAATTGATAGGCTAAATAATAAAGTTTTTCAAGATTTACCTAGAAAAATAAACAGAAAATCTGTGATAAAATCTTCTGAAAATAAATAATTGTATATTATTTTTATATATTGTTACTCATGTGTCAAGTGGCTAATCTATTTTTATCCATAGTCATTACATAATAAAATACTGGTAGTTTCATATTGGGACAGATAGAATAGAGTTTCATAATTGTCCCCAAATAATTCTTTTTTTTAAATTTTGTAATTTATTGTGGTTAGTAACATAATAAAAACATCTGAATGGTGTTTTTATTATTACTACTTTTATCTATTTTGATTACGTTAATAAATATTTTTACTAAATATTTTAATAATGTTTAGGAAATAAAAAAAAACTAAAATATTAAAATTTAAAGAATGAATAAATACAAAAACAAATTAATTAAATTTTACTGCAATTTTTATAAAAATCACAACTTTACTTTTATTTAATCATTTTGGTTAAATTACTTTGAATAATTTTACATGGAAATGTTCTTATTAATTAATTTTCCATCTTGGAGTAACTTTTATCATACTTCAGGAATTCTGCTCTATATTTTCCTTTTTTATATAAAAATATCAGCACATTCCAACCAAGCCTTTCAATTCTTTTTCAAAATTTTTTTATTTACAATTACCTACCTTGGTTTCTTTAGCAGTTTTTAAAATTCTTCCTTATATTTTTAATATAATTTATGCTTAGCAGAAAATATAATATAAATGTTGTTTATTAATGGTTCATTCAAACTTCCTAAGCTAAAAATCAACAGAAAAATGTAATTTTCTTGATTTGTTCATTACGAGAAAATATATTATTTTTTTTTTTTTTTAGAGATAAATAGTACAAATATCTGAATTTAAGTCCTTCAACCTTCATTTAGATTTCATTCAACAGTTTAAAAAGAACCTCTTTTAGTTTAGTTTTATATGTGTGTACCCTATTCCTTAAATGCTTGCAACTATTGGTGGTAAATAAAAATTTTTATTTCAAGAAATTAGTTGCTTTTAGAATACAGGCATCCCTTGATTGATGTGTTTTTGAATAGGACGCTAAAATTTTTATATATCAAACTTCAATTAGGTCATGCATAATACTCAATTAGTCTGGTAAATCATTATTCAGCTAAATCATAATAATTGAAAACTGATTTTTTTTACAGTTAAATTACACATTAGTCGCACTAATCGAGGCATTCTTGTGTATATATATGAAGAAATATAGTTTTAAGGTGTGCTATATTTATGGGATAAAGTGCTCAATATCAGAGATAGAGCGTATGTAAATATAAATATAAAAGTGAACATTGAAGTCAACACTAAGAGGCGACAGGCTGTTTCATGCTAGATGCAATTGTCAGGCCACAAATGTTGGATTTTTCTCAACTATTTATACATATGGGTCAGTGGTGCATTGTGGGTAATCTATTCTGGCAGTTATTTTTTTGGGAGTGGCTTGTTTGTTTATTTATTTGTTTGGGTTAATAAATAAATAATAAAAAATGAAAAACAAGTAAAATAAATTAACCCAAACAAATAAATAAACAAACAAGCCACTTCCAAAAATTAACCACCAGAATAGATTACTCACAATGCACCACTGACCCATATATATAAATAGTTGAGAAAAATCCAACATTCACAGCTTAATGATTGCATCTAACATGAAACAGCCTGTCACCTGAGTGTTGACTTCAATTTTCACACACATATATATATATATATATATATATGAATAAATAAAACAGAATTTCAAATTTTGTGTCATCCCAGCATTGTCCAAAAAGCATAACCAATCATACCAAACTAATATTCTTTTGAGCCTTGGTTGGAACCCAGGACTATGTAAGAATGGTACAAATTTGCTCAGTTCCATGAAAATAAATCTCCTGAAACAACATTCATATTTCATATTTACTGGTCCCTTACTAAGAACTTCAAAGTATAATTTTTGGGTGGGGAAAAAGAAAGAAAAAAAAGAGGGGATGCTGGAATTGTACTGCCAAAAATCAATTTTTCATACCAAATGAACTTTTTTCTGATTCAATATAGAAATCTGACTTAAAAACTCTATTTTCAGATCAGAAGTAAAAATAATTAATGATTATATTTTCAAACAATTCTATCCCCGGAAAACAAACTGGGCCAATATAGCTGAGAGTATCAATAATTAAAAAAAAAA